GCCACTGTGTCAAAAAGATAAATGGTTGTAACTTACTCTAGAAGAAATAAATTATATCACTACAATGAAACGTTGGATAAGTGCAGGCTTTCCTGCCAGACATGAGACTGAGCGGCTGAAGTTCTCAGTCGTGAGCACATGGGCAGGTTCTACACGCAATACGTGCATTAACATGCAGCGCATATGGAACCCAGTGTATCAATGCATTTTCACAGACTGGACATGTGGCCATTCTACACCCAAGGAAATTATAGTATCCAAGTACATGATAAAACGATTAAAACTATTATAATTTCAGTACGTACTTATGTAAGGTCTGCAAAAGTTAGTTGGAAACAACTTAATGTGAATAAATTAATGAATGGAAAGACGTAAACTAAGCCTTCATGTGGTACACCGGTACACCGTATAGCCCGCTTTCATTTTGCTCCATTGATATGAATGAGCATGACACTAACTGGTGTTTTTCACCAAATTAGAAGTGTTGTAAAGACAAAAGAGGCATCAGGCTTTTAAAAAAAAACTACAACAGCAGAATTCAAGAAAGCATGAAATATACATGTTACAGTTCTTTTTATTCCACTTACATGTATTTTTACAGACTGGGTCACAATTAATATTCTATTTAAGCCAGTCAGTGAAATTTTTAACTTGCATAATGTCAATTTACTACATGCCATCACTTCCAAACCCTTTCATCACTTTATGATCACTTAACACAATTTAAAGATGCAACTCATACACTTGGATACTTTTCAACGGTCTTCTACTTCAGATGTGTGTGTAATCATGTATGCATGCTGTATAATATACAAATATTGACTGATTAGAGTGGTGTGGTAAAACTAATTTCCTGAGGTGATCCATAGATTGCTGTGTTTTCTCCAGGCGTAGCCGAGGGAAATGGAGGCATCTTGTTTCACATGTCTAGGACACCACAAATTGAAGCAGTCAATGTTTGTTTTAAAACACCTCATCCTCAGATTCTGCTGAGTTTCAGAGACAACTGATTAATTTATCAAAAATCCAACGAAAATATACTTCTATTCCAATGTGAAGTTTGTTGGAAATTTTCAAACATAATGTTTTAACTCAACTCTGTGGGTGATGTGCATGCAGCAGGAACATGTGTGTGATTTAGAATAATGGCAATGCATGCCATGCAAAAGAGACCATGAAATTTGATAATCATGTAAGTGCCACACTGTTTCCACCACTTTGACCCATCAGAATCAATGATTCAAGTTTGCTTGAAGTTCAAATATACAAATACATGTTTATATGTACAACCCCTGAATACATCCCAGTCATCTGATTGATGCTTCATTGATGGCGTCATTAAATAATTGGTCCCAGCCCACAACCCGGCCGCACTGCAAAAATAGAAGTTCTATTCCACGGTCACACGACTAGTGGCTTGATCTGACCAATCAGATAATGAGGATTTATTCAAGTGTTGAATAAAACAAACTAACACAATTGTTCACATTCGTGCAATGGAAAGAATATTTTAATTCGGTGGCGGAAGGAACATTCCATACGTCACCTCATGAAACAATTCTTACCATTGCACTCATAAACATTCAAGTTGTATAATGTAGAGGTACTATAGCATGACCTCGTACATGTAACTCAATTAAAAACTAGTTCTCAATAATAATTGAGGGAAAATATTTATTGAAATAGTAACAAGCAAACTTGAAGACTGTAATATGATACATGAACTTTTACTGAGACCATTCACGCAGTAGATGCCCAACACAGGTCTTGGTTCAAGACTCAAGTGGATTGCATCGATCTGTTGCCAAGCCCAATTGTCCTTTCTCATACTTGTACAAAAATGGTGTACTCCGTCAACATCAAGGAATATATTCGAGAGACATAAGTTTCAAGTTATCATTAGCCTTGGAAATATTTCTGCAGACAATGTTACCAATAAGCAACTAATAGAATTTAAATGTATCGGGGTGCAAGGTCAAACAATAAATGTGCCATGTTTCAGCAGTTTCACAAGTAAGTTTTGAGAAATTCTCCTTGCAAATGAAAGCCACCTTTCTGTATGTTACTAATATGTAAACACTAGGAGTGTGCATTGGAACCAGGCAACCGGGTATCCGACAATGTCAGGAATCGGGGTCAGATAATGGATCGGGTACCCATATGAACCAACTTTACTTCTCAGATAATGAAAAAGAAAGGATATGAATGCCATTTGTGGAGATTTTTCAAAACGAAAACCGGGATATGGAAAACTAAAACAGATTTAACGTTTATGTGCATTTTAACATGCAACAGATGACACTCGTGAAAGTTGCAGGTTACACCATAAAGCAATAAAGCTCTTTACATAACTTCTGGGATGTTGATTTTGGGGTCTGGTTTCGTTTACGGGTACCCATGTTTTACTTCAACAGTCTACACTGTCGCAAGCCTAATTGGATTCATGTACGTACATGTAAATGTGTGCAGGTGTGAGGCCTGTAACAATGTACACATACATGTATTGGCACATGAAAACACAGTTTTGGACCTGTCTCTCAAAACTTAAAGCATGGTGCAATAGAGTGTGTAAGTTGACCGCAAAAACCTGCGACATTTTAAGAGAATACAGCACATCTGGTCACTGCCGCATGTGTAACATCCTATTTTTTTGCATTTATTGTACGTCCTGACTGGGCTCATCCAATCAAGGGCAATAAATGGGTATTTTGAAAGAAAAGAAAGCATTACAATATGGCAAATTGATGACTATTATAAAATTAAAATTGTTGACCTCAAATTCAGTTTAATCGATCACGCAGATACATGTAATTGGGTAAATTCAAACATGGGAGTCCGTGACTAGACTAGCTCATGTATGGTACTAAGACGTTCACAGAAAAAGTAAACGTGGACTGGCTAGACTTACACGCTCTGTTGGTCCAACTACAAAGTCGCAGCACGACGCCTAGTTGCAGTGCCACAACTAGTCACCAAGCAACAACTAGAAGACTCTTTTAAACATAAGGGTCACGCCGACCAAAAGTTGTCACTAGTGATGGCTAGTAGACTCACACTCGTCATAGAGTGCTACCAATTACACATGGCAATTCCATGAAAAAGTGGACATGGCTGAAAAATGGAAAAATTTTGAAATTTTCACAACTGCAAGCAAGTGTTATTGTGATCTTTGTTTTTAAGACATAGAGAAAGGTTAATATTTTATGAGATTGGGACTAGGGCCTATTTGTTTGATTATTAGTTTCTTATGTTTTAACTTGTACCAAGATGGTGGGCAAACTGTAACATGAGTTATCATAACCTAAGTTACCAGCATATATCCCTCTAGAGATTTTAGGATTGATTAATTTTTAATTATTGAAATTGACTTACAGTAAAACCTTAAACAAAATTCATAAATACCTAAGACCGTTTACGCATTCCTATTGGTTGAGAGTCCGTCACGTGGCCAGTCTTAAACGGATGATAAAGACATGACTAGCTGGTCTTAAACACTTTTCCAGTGTCACATGAAATTTGGACTCCCATGAAATCCGGTGCCTTTTACGTTTCATTGGTTGAACGTTCAAATTCCCCACGTATGCATGCACAATACTACCAGTGAAACATTATTTTCATATTCTGATATTCACACTACACCAGCCCAGCTGCGTTTTGCGCGACATCGCGCAGTACGTGCGACCATGGAGGTGGAATGCGCGACACGCACGCAATTGTGGAGGGGCATTCCATATTATAGTCAGAGGGGTGTTTCGTAAAACATGAAGTAAAATTGTTGAACAAAATGGTTCACAACGTCTAGTTTTTGACTTCTTTTGATATTGGACAGAAAAGATTTGTTTTTTGTTCGCCTCGGGTAATTATCACCCATCCAGACTCACACTCACAGTACACACCGGTTTTAAACAGAGTGTTATAATACCTCCGAAACACACATTTATCCCCTTAATATGACATCAGTGCATAGTATGAGGAAACTTTAAAATGCAGGGTATTCACATTTTCCCAGTGGCCATTGTTACACGATTTTCAAATGCTATCGTTACAGCATGGCAGTCGACCATATTCAACGTCAGCATCTTTGGCTGTTGAAAACTATTAAACGAAAAAAAGAAGAAAAAACGTGCGCAGCATGAGTTCGATCCTGGAAAATTTAACGTTGTTGTTGAATGTTTAACTAATCGAGCAACCGAAGCACTCTGGTTGGACAGGCAGTTATACATGTGATACATGTAGATTCACACTGGTGTTTTGCTAGTCCAAGTAACTAGGACTCTACGGATCGCAATTTAACATTTGGACATGGTCGCCCGACAGTAGAGTCCGAGATCGATGGCCCTATTGCGGTTACTAATAATTTTTTTGGACCATTTTCACTCGTACCCCTAATCAAAATCGTCAGATTTCACCCCCAAAACAGTCTTCAAACTGCCTTATGCGCCCCTGTAGGCTTCAGTGGGAAGTGAAAATACAAATGGTGGTGGTTAGTTTTACATACCTTTGGGAATAAAAGAGAAATTTCACCTTCAAATCGGGAAACATCCTTGTCACACATGCCTTGTTTGAGGCTGCCATTTTGAATTCACGAAAAATAGACTTGCGCATGGCTCTGGCTACACAGTTTCCTGGCGGGCATCACAGGGCACTGCCCTGTGATTGGTCAGGTGACCAATCAAAGTGCCCTGTGATTGGTCTATCTGATGCTTACCAGGAAACAGTGTAGCCAGAGCCATGCACAAATCAACTTTTCGTGAACTCAAAATGGCAGCCTCAAACGAGGCGTTTGTGACAAGGAGGTTTCCCGAATTGAAAGTGAAATTTCTCTTTTCTGCCCAAAGGTATGTAAACCTAACCACCACCATTTGTACTTTCACTTCCCACTGAAGCCTACAGGGGCGTACATTCCGTACAAGGCATGTTGAAGACTGTTTTGGTGGTGAAATATGACGATTTTGATTGGGGGTACGAGAGAAAATGGTCAAAGAAAATTATTAGTAACCGCAATAGGGCCATCGATCTCGGACTCTACCATCGCCTGACCATGTCAAAATGTTAAAAAAGCGATCCATATAGTCCAAGTTACTCAGACTAGTGTTTTGCAATGCCATAATGATAGCACAACTTTGAAACGCTACGCTATGCTGCAACGATAGCCACTACATGTAAATTAAATTGTTTGCCATGTCCTTTTCTTGTAACACGAGTTACCAATAAAATACTTATTGCCAAACCAACCGATGTTTATTTTGTTGGCTCTTTTTTGTAGTTTAGTGACTTCATTTCAACAGAGCTTCTGTGAGAAAAATCCACGCTAAATGCTTTGACTTTATAGAATAACAGCACCCCCGCTAAATGTTATGCAAATTACCATGGAATTGCCCACGTGACTTATGTGATCAGCGAGTCTGGATATCTACCAAAAGACAATACAGCTCGGAGGCATGCATGCTTGTCTACTTTTATGTCTGGTAATAATCTATTTCATATGGCCAACGATATATACCTGCATCATATGAAAATTTCAGACAATAATTCTTATCAACACGTGTTCACTTCCTGACAAAGAACCTCATAACTACTTAATGGTTTCACAAAATGAAAATCTGGAATACCGCAATGTGGGCATGGTATGTTCTGAGAGTAGTCACTAAAGAAATGAGTGCCACGAGTGGGGTCCGTAACTGGTTTTCCACACTGTTTGCAGCTTACACGCCCTGGACAACAAGGAGAAGCAGCAAAGATGTCATAGGAGTAGACTGTGCCAAGTTGGTGGTGGCTCCCATCCCAACGGGAGTTACAGATGCGACATACAATATGTTTGACTCCCTCCAGGCACTGCATGCATACCGCACCAAGGTATTGCACCCGACCATTCAGGACCAAGCGCAAGTTTACATCACTGTAGTTGAGAGGTGTTAAGTAGAATGTTCCATCAATTAGAGGGTAGCAATCAAAGACTGGCAAGCGGTTTTGACACATGGAACAGATCATGGTCGCAACTCCGTGCGCTGCAAGAGCACCAAGTACAAACCCTCTCACTTCATCACCATCTGGTCCCTGGTCACTATCCATCCTTATGTGATACGGGTTGCACTTTTGTGGAGGCAACAGTTTGACAAAAATTGAAAGATCCACGCGGTGTACAAATGGCACATTATGGCTTACATCAAATTTGCTTTGCCCTTTGTTTTGACAGTGTGTTTGCAGCAAATATAGACTATTGCTATTTTGTCCTAACTTTTCATTGTTTTTATTTTGTCCAGTACTTTCTTGAGACTGAGAATGATGTTGCCCTGGTAACAAACCCAAACCACCACCATGTCCACTTGGTGAATTTAGAATGTTATCACCTCCATCAGAGCAACTACTGTATTGTCTTGGTGGCGGCCATTCAAATTCATCATTCTTGTTCCCTTCAGATTGGCGCTTGCATCGCACATGCTGTTGGCTTGCATTTACTCCTTGTTGATGACTTGAAGACAATGAATGTGCACAACTGTGTGGTGACTGAGTAGGTGAAGAAACAGTGTCTGATTTCACCACTGGGCTATGTGGTGGGGTATGGTTTTCATTGGAAGAGGCCGATGCATGACGGTGACGACCATGCCCACTTGCTGTACTTCCTGAATGTGAGTTGCCAGGAAGAGTGGTGGCTTTACCAATGCTTGGTTTGTCACTAGATTTTTTACGTCTCCGCTGTTTACGAAGATTGCCCTCTTCACTTTCATTGACCACACGCTTTGGAGGAATCCAGTCAAGATCTTTTCGTAAATGGCCTTTTGCACATTGGCAAGAGCATGCTTTCCATGCTAAGTCGTACCCCTTTTTAGTCCATAGATTTTGACGCCTCTGTTTTTCAGACCAGCTGCGGGCCCGTCCAGATGACCGCAAATACGTTAGCACCTCTTCTTCCCATGTAAGAAAGCATGATTTGTGCATGAACTCACCGTGTGTACAGTCAGCATTGTTGCACACGACTTTTTCCACATCGTCTGGGTCCAGAACATTCACCATTTTGCCTACAGTACAACCAAATGGAACACAGCAAGGTAACAGACTACCGACAGAGTTTTCATCAGTACTGCCCTCTGCTTCTTGTTTTACATTTTCTCCTTCAGCATCGCTCCCATCATCAGCTACTTCAGCACGAAACCGTTCCGCCTTCAATTTTGCTCTCTCCTCCTTTGTAAACGGCATGATGCCATGAAACGTTTTCGCCTTTTTTCAGTAACTTTTAAATACACATTCAGCTTTTGTTGTCAACAGATAATAGTACTGAATTGCTCTTAATTCAAATTATCACGCAGTGGAGTGTGGTTTTCCACCCCTTTCGATTTTTGGCTGTAAACGTCCGGCCGTCGTTACGCGTTAAACGCACTCGTCAGCTAGCTCGGTACCTAGACCTGGCGTGGCACGGTGGCACGTACGTGGTGGGTCCATTCACGGACATGTACGTACGTACGTAGCGCATATTCCCAGGCCAGCTATCTTGCTAGCTCAGCCATCAAAATTCATACTACGACTGCGAGCTAGGCGTGGCATCAGCAGCTAGCTTAGACTTGACTCAAGTCGGAATTGATTTTCAGTCCGTATCTTCTTCTTCTTCTTCATTCATTCATTTTCATGATGACTTGATGAGTTGCCCAACTGTCCCTGTCGAGCATAGTGTTGGAAAGAGATGGACCACTCAGACCAGTTTCTAGCTCGATGGATGTTTTCAGGGTCATGTTGGGACGACCTTTTCGTCGAGGGGCTTCAGGATTCCAGAGGAGAACTTGACTAGCTGGCTCATTATGTCGATAAACGTGACCGGCTAGCCGAAGGCGACACTGTCTGATGGTGGTGGAGATAGGGGGAAGGGCACCATACAGAACAGAGTTAGGGAGATGTTGTTGCCAAGAAACATTCTGAACAGCCCGCAACATCCGTTTATTTCAACTGTGTTCAGATTTAAATAATTTAAAATATTAAAATCAAGCAGAATCTGTGGGTGAAGTGTTATAAAACAAATATTGAATGCTTTATCTCGTGGTGAAGTAAAACTAGCCTCCCTCGATGATCCATGGACCATTCTATTTTCCCTTGGCTTCGCCTCGGGAAAATAGAATGATCATGGATCACCTCGGGAGGCTAGTTTTACTACACCACTCGAAGCATTCAATATTTGTATACTGTTCATCGTCCACTATCGATCACTAGCGTCTTGGGCCAAGACTACGTATTCAGCCGCATTTTCAGCCGTGTATTCATGCAGAGGCCAATAATATATAGACTGGCAATGAGGTCGCTAGTGCACGTCTGTGCGCCCCCAGGCACTGTGAGTGACCAGAAGAGGGTCCTATTTCCCTACGTATATGTCCATGTGTTTTATAACTCACATCTGTCCAAAATATAAAATAAGAAAAGAAACCTTTTAGGGTTTTAGTATTCAAATGTTTTAATTCGACAGTTTACCCATAAGCAATTCAACTGTAAGCAAATCAACAATTAAAGGAACGCTTTTCGTTTCCCTAGATTTACATTAATTTTTGAGTTTGAGTTTTTAAGTGCGCTGTTACCAGTCAAACATTTTTGAGTATAGTCCCCATTGTCTTACTTATGGAGATCAGTGATAGTGCCCGATCAGGCACGCGCGCGCGATGTCTCGACGCGCGTCTAGTTTGACGCTGACGCTATAGTTTATGTGATAGACCCATAGATATAGATAAGTTCTATATCTATGGATAGACCACGGCACCACGCCGAGTGACGCTAATGAATATGCAAATATGCGCTTCGTCATTGTGTTGACGGTGTAGCATGAATTTCGGTTTTATGAAATACCAACCTCGTGCCCCGTGGGTACGATCTTGCTGCGCCATGTTGTTTCCCATCATGCCTTGCGCGATCGTAAACCCTGGAATTGTGTAATTTAAATGTGCTAAAATATGGCGCATTATAATTAGGCTGCAGTTTATCCGTTTTACGCGCCGACACCATCTTTAAAATGTTGAAAGTTGTGTTTTTGAAGAATCAATGCTTTCAAACATAAGGTTTGGACGTTGCGTTATTCAGCAAAGTTTTGTATCAAAGGTACGTACCCCTTTCATGCCTTTTGTCCCTTTGCAACCGCAGATACAGGTTTTTTTTTGCGAAAACGAGGCTGCCATAATCCATATCGTACAGGCATCGCGCAGTTTTGAATATTCGCACGTGACGTGACGTGCAAAGCACGCGAGCGCAATTATGGGCGCGCCCGGCGTGCAATCTTCGAAATGCCCGCGCAGTACGCTCTGAATAGCCAGTCAACATCGTTTACGTCATCATCACGGCCAGGGGTTAGTGTAAGGAACGAGCACGCGCCCCTGGAGTCGAGGCTGATTAAATACGGACTCTTGGTGGTATTGCGCATGTCATGCATAGATAATTAGGAGAGGGACCGGTCACGTGAGAGGGTTTAACCAATGAAAGGGAAAAGGAGTCCGATTTTCATGTGACATCGGTGTCATGCCAAAAACTGTCCGGTGCCAAATGGTGTATGTCCGATGAGTACAATGAGTCCGGTGTTAATAGTCCGAGCGCTGTCGTCATGCATTTGCAGCACGGATTTCATTCCGTTCCTACGATACTGTCTGTCAATTTTCTTGCAAAGTACTGCACAAAACGATGCAAAAAGTGAGAGAAACCGTTACTTAGCAGCCAGAGGAATAATTCGTACGTTGACCACTATCACGCTACTAGTCTACGCACGTACGCACGTGATCTGACACAGAAAACTTTTAGGTCACAGGTCACGCAAAATCTATCCAATCAGAGCGTTAATTCGTCAGCCCTTCCCAGCGTCCTGTTTGCAGGGCAGGGGGTATGACATGACATACCTGCATCCGAATCAACTGTCTATGAGCTAGGTTTAGGTCCACGCCCATCGAAAATACGCGGAGACGCGCTGACAATAGACCCGTAGACGACCCGAGTAAGCGCGAGAAGCCACGTGAGAGGTAAATCGAACGCTGTTGTGCTTGCACGATTAAGCGCGGGGGAAGTAATCGAACGCACTCAATGTGAGCAGATTCGCTGATTAATAGGCAAGACAACCGCCTCTAGTCTGAGTATCACCCGTTATCCACGGAGAGAGACTCCTGTATAACGTCTGATATGTCTAGAACATACGGTGGCCCACAACTGTCACGGCAAAAGCAAAAGCGCCACGGCAAGCGCAACAGCGCCGCGGCAAGCGCAACAGCGCCGCGGCAAGCGCAACAGCGCCACGGCAAGCGCAAAAGCGCCACGGCAAGCGCAAAAGCGCCACGGCAAAAGAAAAAGCGCCGCGGCAAAAGAAAAAGCGCCACGGCAAAACAAAAAGCGCCGCGGCAAGCGCAAAAGCGCCACGGCAAGCGCAAAAGCGCCACGGCAAGCGCAAAAGCGCCACGGCGAAAGCAAAAGCGCCACGGGTTTATTGGGAAGGGCGTAATCATACATGCCGCTACTACATCAAAAATAAAATGGGAAGGAGAATGGCCGCCACCAGGAATTCTTATTAAGCACAGAATTTAATTCTTTGAGAAGTGATTTTATGGCTGAGAAAATAGCAAGGCCAAGGAAAACCGGTCAGGAAATAAATCGTCGATATTAATTTGTTGTAGGATAATTATTATTCCAAGAGAGTTGCTGCCGTGAATCAGAGTTTATAAAGGAGTGGGACTCACTATCAGCACCATCAGGGCCGTTCCTCATTTCTTTACATTTCGTGGGATGCAAACAATTACGAGGACGGGAGGCTCTGTGAGCTGATGCATTTTTTGAAGAGTTTTTTTCCTTCCGACTAGCATGCAGAGAAGAGTTCCGTTAATTTGAGACTTAGTTCACCCATGGGCGTCGCGAGGGGGGCAAGGGGGCGCTCCCCCCCCCCGGAATAGCACACAAAAAAGGAAGGGGAAAAAAGAGAAAAAAAGAAAAAGAAAAAGAGGCGCGAAGTCATAGTAGTGTAAATTGAATGAGTTGGGGGGGGGGGCAAAATGTCCCTGCCCCCGTCTAAAACTGAGAAATCGAGAATTTGTTCAGAAATACAACAATTTTTTGGGAAAAATATGTTTTGCCCCCTCTAGAAAAAATCCTGGCGACGCCCATGAGTTCACCGGTGTGTATACCAGTGTAGGCACACAATTGAGCTGCCCAGAGTTTGGATATAGAATAAGAAAGAAAGAAATTAACTCAGAACCTAGAACTCATTGGCCCACCCACCCCCGGCTCAAGAAACCAACAAGCCGAACAAGACCTCATGATGCTTAGCGATAGCGATGATGAGTTGCCCTGTGGACAGTCTTCCACATCATCGCAGAATCAGCCTGCAGGGCAGAAAGAGGGCTTGTTTCCGGCATCAAAGAGTTCCGTATTCACTCGAAACAAAGCAAACGGCTCTTTTCAGAGCCACCAAATTTTCATAGAAGAGCTTAGAACTGTGCATCTCAACGATAACACTTCTCCTTTGTTTTGTGTCTCTCCCTTACCCCCCCCCCTTTTTAAAGTTAATTTATTTATTTCTTATTCTATATCCAAAGTCTTCGCCTGTGTTACGTTCCTTACATGAAATCCACGACCTAACCTCCTCTGTCGAAAGCGTTGCAACTGTCTAATAGAACGATCCATTTCTCGATTTGTGAGTTATCTTCAACTCAGTCGTGTTTATTGGGAAGGGGCGTAATCATACATGCCGCCACTACATCTAAAATTAAATGGAAAGGAGTATGGCCGCCACCATGAATTGAGAAGTGATTTTATGGCAGCCCTGCAGGAGAGCCTTAATCGACTTCCTAGATGTGTATGATATACTGAAAAAGAAAAAAAAAATAACTCATACACTCTGGGCAGCTCACTTGCGTGCCTACACTGGTATACACACCTGTGAAAAAAGGCTCAAATTAACGGAACTCTTCTCTGCATGCTAGTCGGAAGGGGAAAAAAATGTCTTCAAAAATGCATCAGCTCACAGAGCCTCCCGTCCTCGTAATTGTTTGCATCCCACGAAATGTAAAGAAATGAGGAACGGCCCTGATGGTGCTGATATAGCGAGTCCTACTTTCCCTCTCTATTATAAACTCTGATTCACGGCAGGAACTCTCTTGGAATAATCTTGGAATCATCCTACAACAAATTAATATCGACGATTTATCAGTCCCTGAACGTTGCTTCACTGACCGGTTTTCCTTGCTATTTTCTCAGCCATAAAATCACTTCTCAAAGAATTAAATTCTGTGCTTAATAAGAATTCCTGGTGGCGGCCATTCACTCCTTCCCATTTTATTTTTTGATGTATAGTAGCGGCATGTATGATTACGCCCCTTCCCAATAAACCCGTGGCGCTTTTGCTTTCGCCGTGACGCTTTTGCGCTTGCACGGTGGTGCTTTTGCGCTTGCCGTGGCGCTTTTGCGCTTGCAGCGGCGCTTTTTGTTTTGCCGTGACGCTTTTTCTTTTGCCGCGGCGCTTTTTGTTTTGCCGTGGCGCTTTTTATTTTGCCGCGGCGCTTTTTCTTTTGCCGTGGCGCTTTTGCGCTTGCCG